ACGACAAAGCCGTCATCAGAAACACTGATGCAGCTCGAGTGGGAAGTTCTCCCGCACCCAGCGTATTCACCAGACTTAGCTCCTTTGGACTATTACTTGTTCCGGTCGATGCAGCACGGCTTGGTGGATACACACTTCAGAAATTACGAGGATGTGCGAAAATGGATCGACGAATGGATTGCATCAAAAGACCAATCGTTCTATCGTCGCGGAATCTACGCGTTGCCCGAAAGATGGGAAAAATGTATAGCTAGCGAGGGAAAATACTTCGATTAATGTATTTTTTGCTTTTGATGTCGAAATAAATGAGTTTTTTAAACAAAAAAACCGCAGGAACTAAGTTTACCACCTAATATTTTTTGAAATAAATAAAAACTGGTCTTACTTTTTGAACACAGTAGTACTATCATACATATTCGGTTTTAGTTCACCCATCAATCCTTTAACATCGCATAGATTAGAAAATCTAATCTGTGCGTGCCCTATCATGGTCACATTCATGTTATTGTCCACGAGATGGAATCTTTTTTCTATTCGAAACATCAATTCTACAATATATGATCGTCGATCAGATAAATCCTGCTGCTTCAGAGGATGTTGAAGACGATGACAACTGTCCCGTAAGGAAATGTATAGAATGATTCGTTTTCCAGTCCTTTGAAGTAAAGAAACCAGCGAAGGCGCACTGTCCTGCAGGGGAGCGTTAGGGTGTGAGAAAGTAGTATATCCGACGACGAATTGACATTGTCCTCGTCAAGGTCGGAAAGCCTTTATATTTAGACCTGGGGAGGTATGAGGGTTTTCACTCCCAGGATGGCTGACTCATCTGCGATCGGAACAGAATCTCTAACGTGTGGATTTCTTGATATTCATGGCACTTCAACCTCTTTCTCTTGGAAACTTTCCGGCAGCATCCCAGGCGACTCACTTGTATAAGGGAAATCCAGACGTATTCTGTTACGTTTATGGCGATTTCAAACCGAAGAAAAATCGCAAAACTCTGACTGAAAAGATTAAAAATCTTTATAAAGAATGTTTCGGCAATGATGTTGCTAATCAAGACAGCAAATGGGTGCTGTACATGATTTTTGGTAGCTGTTATAACATGCTATGTCGTTTTGATGAAAGAAAAGATAAAAAGCATCTTAAATTCACAGTACCGATTAGATGGACTTAGCCCCAGAATGCACAGGATTGTTACTTTTGTATGACTAACGTAACAGGTTTCAACAAGAACAATGTTTCCAACATTATCTACGCAGATGTTTCCAATGCCATACGCCCTTCATGTGCAGTAATAAACGAGAATAAAGCATCAAGTTCAGCATCAACTATAACATCCAATCTCAATGAAATGAATCTCGTGGAAAATCCAGAAGATGAATACGAAGATGTCGATGAATGCAGTGAGAGTGAAGGAGATGAGAGTGACGATCAATTTATGCCCTGCGGAGAAAAGGATACTACACCAAAAATATTCACCAAAAAAAACTACGAACGATGTATTGAAGAATTTGGGACTAGCTAAAGATCAATGCGAATATCTAACATCAGAAATGAAAAAGAGAAACCTAGTAGAGAAAGGAGTAACAGCTTCTTTCTATCGAAACAGAGAGAAAGAGTTTCGGAAATATTTCTCTCAAGAAACAGACCTCGTATATTGCAATGATGTTAAAGGATTGATGGGTGAACTAAAACCGAATATGCATGATGACAGAGATTGGAGGCTGTTTATAGATTCTTCGAAGCGGAGTCTGAAGGCGATACTCCATAATACGAACGTATATGCAGCTGTTCCAATAGTTCACTCGACCGTTTTGAAGGAAAAATATCAGAATATTGGAAAAGTTCTCATGAAAATCAAATATTCCGGACATAAATGGCAAATTTGTGAAGATTTCAAAATTTTGTGTGATTCTCGGTCAACAATCCGGTTTTACAAAATATTCGTGCTTCCTTTGTCACTGGGATAGTAGAGATCGTCAGAGTTATTGCATCAGGAAAGATTGACCACTCCGAGAATCCTTAAAACCTGGTTCAAACAATGTTATAGAGGAACCATTAGTTGATCCCTCCAAAATTCTACTTCCTCCACTTCATATTAAACTTGGTTTGATGAAACAATTCGTCAAAGCACTGGATAAAGAAGGGGAATGTTTCTTATATTTAACAAGTAAATTTCCTAATCTATCGGATGCGAAGTTGAAGGAGGGAGTTTTCGATGGTCCACAAATTCGTACTATGTTCAGGGATGAAACGTTTATTACTAAGATGAATGATATTAAGCGTTCTGCTTGGTCAAGTTTCAAAAAAGTTGCACAGAAATTCTTGGGTAATCACAAAAGTGGAGATTACGTGCAAATCGTATCAGATATGATTCACAACTTCAAAGAGTTGGGCTGTTTAATGAATCTAAAATTACACTTTCTGCATTCACACCTTGATTACTTCCCACAAAATTTAGGAGATTACAGTGAAGAGCAAGGGGAGCGTTTCCACCAGAATTTGAAAGTTATGGAACATCGATATCAAAGAAGGTGGGATAAAAATATGATGGCAGACTATTGTTGGATGTTGAAAAGGGAAGATACAAATGAAAATAAGAAATGTAAAAGGAATCCACTACACAGATCATTCGAAGAGAAAAGGGTACACAAAAGTAGATGAACATGAAATGTGAAGTTTTATTGTTTTCTCGGGGTTGTCAAAAAAAAAAAAATTGTATTGAACACCTCTTGAAAATGCTCTGTTTCAGGTACTAATAATATGTGAGTTGGTCGGAATGATCCATATGTACAGAATGGTACGTTCGTTGTAGCTCGTGTCCCTTCGCGTTTATGAATATAGAGTTTGGAAGTTTCGTGACTTTTGTGACTTCCATTTTGTTGATTCAGGTCTAAAAAATGGTTCCAACTTTGCTATAGTATGCAGAGAAGAGGATCAGGAAGAGACTATACGATTTGGATTTCACAATCCAAGTTTCACAAATTTGGGATTGAAGTAAAGCGGGTATTAAAGTATTGCCATGTTAGGGTAATGGGATGTGTGGTTTTTGGGTTATTAGGTTATGAGATATTAAGGTTATGGTGTATTGATGTTTTGAGTAGTTGATGCGACGCGGTGCTCTTTAAAAAGGTATTCGAGTTACAAAATATTTTGGTTGTGAGTTATGGGGTATTTGAGTATATAGGTTATTGGGTTGTTCTAGTCATCAGATGTTGAAGTACATAATGTATTTTCAACGTTGGTTGTGCGGTTATGGGGTTACTCGTCACTCTAGAATTTTTCTTGAATACATGTCTCCGTAAAAACCTGGATATCTGCTCTTTTCCACGATTTCCTCGATTTTCCGGGAAACTCAAGGGTGATAGAGCAAATCTGACACTGGATTTGGATTCAGCACCCCAAAATACGTACAGTGCAGCTAGTCAGACCCCCAACACAGACAACTTTTTTTTAAATTGTGGGCCTGTGTTATTATTCTGTGTGAATGAAAAGCAATATTTAATAAATACTATATATTAACATAAAAATATTTAACAAAATTTTTTCGATAATGATTTGAGAAAATGAATAATAAATAAAATAAATAACATTTTAGAAACATTTTTAAAATATTAGCTTTTGATTGGGTAAGTGAATGAGAATTAAATTTTTTGTAATGGAATTACAAGCAATTCCATTTTTAGCAATGGAAATATAAAAAATGGTATTAAAATTGCGATTAATTTAATCCCATTTTAGATCGTCAACAAAAGCATTAAGAAAAAAGGTTTTAAACAAACAGTTAAAATGTTTTAATATTTTTTAACAAGAATAGGTTAAACCTCATTTCTTTATTAAAAAAAAACATTTATTACATTTGAAATAATGTTTTGTTAACGTTATAAAAATGTTTTTGTAAATGTGACACTGACATAAAACATGACTGATTAAAAAAAAGTTTCTTATTCAAAATATCTGAACATTACAATATTGATATTTATCACACAATTAAAGTGTAATAAATACTTACATATACGTACTTGGTCAATTATAATGATCTCACTTCTTTTTTGAATATTTAAAACATCTGCACTTTGTTTAAGTTAACATGTACTTTTCGTTTTTTTTTCTTTAGTACTTTTTGTTTTAGTATTTTTTGTATAATTGATATTTATCACACAATTAAAGTGTAATAAATACTTACATATACGTACTTGGTCAATTATAATGATCTCACTTCTTTTTTGAATATTTAAAACATCTGCACTTTGTTTAAGTTAACATGTACTTTTCGTTTTTTTTTCTTTAGTACTTTTTGTTTTAGTATTTTTTGTATAATTGATATTTATCACACAATTAAAGTGTAATAAATACTTACATATACGTACTTGGTCAATTATAATGATCTCACTTCTTTTTTGAATATTTAAAACATCTGCACTTTGTTTAAGTTAACATGTACTTTTCGTTTTTTTTTCTTTAGTACTTTTTGTTTTAGTATTTTTTGTATAATTGATATTTATCACACAATTAAAGTGTAATAAATACTTACATATACGTACTTGGTCAATTATAATGATCTCACTTCTTTTTTGAATATTTAAAACATCTGCACTTTGTTTAAGTTAACATGTACTTTTCGTTTTTTTTTCTTTAGTACTTTTTGTTTTAGTATTTTTTGTATAATTGATATTTATCACACAATTATTTGTGTAATAAATACATGCATAAACGTACTTGGTTAATACGAGGTGTGGCTATTAAATAACGAGACTGACGCTGCTACAGAAGAAGTGCGCATGCGCCAAACGCCAGCAAGCCACAGCTGTTATCGTGAAGTCTTCTCTTTCGAATGCAGTGCCTCTCGTTTCTGTAAACAAATCAGTATAGCCGTAGCCTTCATTCGCATTAGAGTTGTTTTTTTGTTTCGCCGGAAAAATGTTAAGTGTAACAGTAGAGCAACGAATTGTTGTGAAATTTCACATGAAACTTGGAAAAACTGCTACTGAAACATATAAATTGAAAGAAGTGTATGGCAATGAATGTTTATCGCGCGCACGTGTTTTTGAGTGGTTTAAGCGTTTTCAAGATGGCCGAGAAGACATTCAAGATGATTCAAGCCCGGGTCGCCCTTCCACGTCAAAAACGGATGACAATATCGAAAAAATCGGTAATCTGATTCGATCTGACCGTCGGTTAAGTATTCGTGCAATTGCTGAAACTGTACGAATTGATGCCGTAAGAAAAAAACGACCCGAATTGTGGAAGGACAAATCATGGGTTCTCCACTAAGACAATGCGCCGGCTCATTCCGCATTGTCTGTCAAGAGGTTTCTAGCCAAGTTCAGCATCCCAGTGTTAGAGCATCCGCCTTATTCACCAGATCTTGCGCCGTGCGACTTCTATCTGTTTCCTAAGGTGAAATCTGCCTTAAAAGGAACAAGATTTGAGTCCGTTGAAGCTGTGAAAGAGAAAGCGGCACGCGTCCTGAAGGAGCTGACAGAAGAAGACTTCCAGCACTGCTTCGAACAATGGAAGATTCGCATGGAGCATTGTAGGGATAGAGGAGGGGTGTATATTGAAGGTGATAATAAGTAAAAATGTATGAAATCAAAATGAAATGTTTTACAGCGTCAGTCTCGTTATTTAATAGCCACACCTCGTATATTGATTTTACTTCTTTTTTTTATATAATTAATTAAAAACATCTGCACTTTGTTTAAGTTAACATGTACTTTTTGTAGTTCTTATTTTGATATTTTTTATTTGGTACTTTTTCTTTTGGTACTTTTTTTTTTGGTATTTTTTTTTTTTTATATATAAGAGATCTTCTCCTATTCTATGCGAAATTTCACAAGTATCCGATATAATGTAAAATAAGTAATCAATGCTTTATAACACTTTATCAGAAATATTGCATAGGAAACCACTTATCCTAATCAATGATAAATTTCACATTTCCAGATAGCCAAATCTGCGCGAACAAATTTCGAACAGAGCCTGCTACCAAGGTTTGATAGCAAATAGGCATCAACTTTGAAGCAGGATCTGTTAGCTCAAATCCAACTGTCAAACTGTAGCCTAATATGCGGCAAAACCTGTCTTTGGGTATTTGGTGCAGATTTGCAGCAAAACCAGCGTAGACGCTGCGCGTATAACCTAGCAACAGATTGGCAGCAGAACCAGAGCAGCGCCTGCGCGCAACATTTGAGAGCAGATTGGGAGCAAAACCGCAGCAAAATCTGCACAAAATCTGTGCTTTAAATGGATGCTAGGTTAGGTTGGCTTTTAAATTAATCTCTGTCTTTACGTTTTTCAGAACGAAGGCTGTGTTTCGATATTTAGGACTAAAAGTTTATTGTTTGTTACTAAACATTTTCAATACTGGGAGTGACCCAGTAAGTAAATTGAGCGCAGACTGCGCGCAGATTGGCAGCAAATTTGATAAAAAACCCACAGCAAAACCATAGCCATCTGTGTCTACATTAGGCTACGGTTTTGGCGACAGATCTTGCTGTCGAGCAATTGGTGCCAAAGTAGCAAAAACCGCGCAAAGCTTGCAGCGCAGCAAGGTCTACGCGGTTTCTGCCGCTAATCTGCTGTTAAATTGCTACAAACTCTGCGCGGTTTTTGCTGCAAATCTACAGCAATTATCCGACAACAAGCTCTGCCGCATCTGACGGCAATTTTGCAACAAGATTTGATATAACAGATCCTGCATAAAATTTGTTATCTATTTGCCATCAAAAGTTGATAGCAAGCTCTACTCGAAATCTGTTCGCGCAGGTTTGGCAATCTGGGGAATTTTGAAATGCAACCGTACAAAATATCAGAGAAAGGAAATCAAAAGAAAAAAAAGGAAGAGAGAGAGAGCGCGATCATTTGGACTGTTCATGAAAAATGTTTTATTTATAAATTAAACAGGGATAAAAATTTATTATTGATTTATTAATAATATTTCATATATTAATCATTTTTTGCGTATATTATTTATCTATATAAGATTATATAAAATAATATAATATTGGAAAAATTTTATTTCAATATGTAAAATCAACGCTATATTTACAAGTCTCTTTTATTTGTACATTGAACACAAGTGATCAATTCTGTCACTTCTTCAATGCTTTTGCTGCACACTAACCTACTGCAATTATTGCAAAAATGTGATTTTATTACCATTACAAAATAAAACCTGATACTGCCGTTGATTCTGGCCTACGTGCAAAGCTACACTGTATTTTAAGTAGGTAGGGTAGGCCGGTTCAAACTCATGATCCTCCGAGGGGGGTGGGGAGCGAGGGGGTATGACGTCACCGGGGGTATGACGTCAGAGGGGATTGCGTCACCGCGGGGAGAGGTATGACGTCACCGCGGAAGGGGGGTATCATCGGTCGGTAATTGGGGGCATACCGATGTTACCGACGGTCGGAAATTTTTACCGATATTATATAACATTTAATTATCTAATTTTTTACCAACATATAATTTTTACCAACATATAATTACACAATACCGACGATCGGTAATTTATTATATACCAACCGATATTATATACCAACATTTAATTTTTTACCAGCACATATATTATTACATAATTTTTACTGTCATATTTACATAATATTGATGATCGGTAATTACCGATATTATATAATTTTTTCTATCTGCTTTCGATAAATCATTTTACCGATCTGCGGCGGTTTTCGCGGTGGTTTTCGCGGCTGTTTTTCGCGGCGGTTTCCGCGGCAGATTTTGCGGCGGTTTTCGCGGCCGGTTTTGCGCCGCCCGCGCATTTCGCAGCGTGATTTTTTTTTTAGTCACAGCTGCAAATTCTAATATTCTGCAAACGTATGCATTCGACAATTAGATGCGCAAGAAAAAGAATGTGACACATGATATTCTTATTACTAATGAGCACGTACACTGTGTCCCCGCGACAAGATTTTGCGTGTTATGCATCACCCGCTGCGCACTACAAAAAGACCGAATAACATTTTAAGACTATTTGTGGTATATGAT